GGCGAGAAGACAGAGACCTTTAACGGGATGGGACGCGGCTCTGCCGTAAGCCCTTAGAGCTTGTTATCCCTGCCCGGGTCAGCCTACGGGGGCTGCTCTGACTGACACTGCTGTAGACGCGGTCTCGCGTCTGGATATGTTTCCTTCTCCACCGGGCTGTTTCTTCGATATCGTGAAGCCGCGTAGGAAATAAGCTTGGTTCCCAGCTCGGTCGGGAGCGTGCCGCCGTTCCTCGGCGGGGGGAGATGCCTCGGGGCTGGGAGGCAGAAGCAGGCGTTTTCCCAGGGTCCGCGGAGCGGTGCCGACTCCCGAGACATGAAGGCAGGCGGGTGTAATGGAGTAAGAGCGAAGACGGCTCCTCTCATCTGCCATTTGCCCTTCCAGACGGGATTGTAAACCGAGAGAGTTGAGGAAGGCTGTGCGAAAGAAGGAGGAAATTCCCCTCGTCGGGTTTTTTTCCCTTTTTTTTTTTTCTCTTTCCCCCCCTCCTGCCTCGATCCTTGGCTTCCCCAGGTATGACTGCCTCACTGCAGCACCTTGTGCTGGTGCTCTTGCTCTCCAGTGCCACCCTGCTGCTCAGCACTGCGGCTGGTAAGTAGCCAGTGGGTGTAACGAACTAGCCATTTTGGCAGTGGGAAGGGGGGTGGGGTCCGCTGGTATTTGGGCACATCTGTGTCTCCTTAAAAAGTGGTGTGCATCTATTTAAGCGGCGAAGCCTGATAAAAGTTTTGAAATCCCGATACGTTAAGCGTCTCGGAGAATAAAATCTGCTTTATTGTGTAAATGAACTCGACCTGCATTCAAGATGTATGCTTTGCCTGGATCTGCTTCTCTTGTCTAATAACTTATTTCAATTTTGGAAAAATATATAATCTTTTTGTTTTGCATACCTCGCCCTTTGTAAGGTAATGGAGGAATTTTTAATATATATTTTAATCGTCAGCAGAGCTGTGCTTGTTTTGCTGTGGGATCTTTGGGCACAGCCATTTTTAATTTTATCAGCATCGGTGCTTTTAGGGGCCTTAAACATGTGCTGCAGTTTTATAACAGACTTACTGTACTGTATATTTTTTTTTCTTGGAAGAGAGATCTGAAGCAAAAATTTAGCTATTTCTGTTGTCACTTGTGATTGTAGAACAGTAACACAAAACTGTTGAGGAATGCTGAAAGAAAGAGTGCTCTTTTTTTAACAAGAAGTTGGAAGCATATATGCTAAGAGCATCCTTATTCATATTTTTGGACGCTCTAGACCTATTTTAATTTTGCTGGGAGGCTCAGTGTCAGATATGTAGGATCTTTGGCCGTGATATTGGAGGAGAGATGTGTATTGGTCTGGCATCCTTTGGTTTTCTGTCATGGTGACAGATTAGCATGTTGGAGCCTTCTGAGCGTTACCCAGCTTTGTTAGGCGCTAACAGCAATTCTTCTTGCTGTATGCATTTTCCAGCAGTTTTGAAAGACTCGTAGGACTTTGGTGTCTTTTTACTAATCAGGATCCAATTTGCAGTGCTTGCCTTTTTTTTTAAATGTTATTTTGTAATCTGATGTGTTTAATTCATAAATGAAGCCTTGTAAGAAAATTGCTGTATCTTGCTGAGATGACCCAAGCTGATGGTAGTTTCCACACTACACTTCAGTGAGATCTTAAAATTGAATTATTTGTCAAAGTTGAAGATACTTGGTGTCATTATTAGGAAAATTCTGTAAATTATATACGTTTAGGCATTTTCTTCATCGCTCTGACTGGATAGGCCCTGATTGTCTCGCTTCTGCTTTTTAAGAGGTCTCTTTCAGGAAGATATTTAAATGAAAAGATTGATGTTGCTTGTGTCATCCTGACCTTTGACTGTCATTATTTTAGATTGATGTCTGCAGCGTCTCTCTGTGGTAGCTTATGAGGAGTGTTTTTCTTTTTTTTTCTTTTTTTTTTTTTTTTCTGGAAGAAGGGACTTCTGAAGGTCAAAAGTGTTGGTATTAAAGCACGTATGGATCAAGAATGCCCAGCATCTCAACTTTTCTTTCAAATATAATTTTTAAAAAATGTAGGCTTTTTTTCCCACTCTGTGAAAACTTCAGTGAGTTGGTGATTTCTCTGTCCTGATGAGGGAGAAGGGTTACTGAAGGAGCGAGTATGGATTTGAACCAGGCCAAGGGCTGGGCAGGTGTGGTAGGAGCCCATTTACACGGTTTTGCCAATTCACCTCAATCCTGACCTGGCAAGAGCATTCCCAGTATTTCAGTTCTGGTTTTGCCTTGTTAAAAGGGTATTAACGATGCCAGCTTGTTTGGTTGTTTTGTGAATAGGAACCTATTTTCCCATTGTGATTTATTTTTGAATTGTGAAGTTTTAACAATCCACATTTTAAAAAACCTTGGTCATAATCCTCTGTAAAAGTAATTACATGGCTGATTTGAGCTTTAGTTAAAGTAACTAATGGTTCATTTTAAGTTTACACTGCATTTCAGAAAATAAATGTCTATACATGGGGAAGCTACACTAATGTGTAATTCTGCCCTTTTATGTTCATGAAAGAGCCAACACTCTTCCCCTCCCCCAAAGTATGAACGGTACGCTCCCCTCAGAGTGAAAATGCTGCCTTTGTAGCTTTAAAAACCCCTATTAATTCTTACTTCTGACTAGCGAATGGATACTATATCTCAGCAGTGTATAGAATTGAGTGTTTATAAATGCAAAATCATGACATCAGAGGGAAGGTATTTTCATAACAGGTTTGTAAGTTTCTGTCTGGAGGAGAATGTCTGGACCTCCTTGGGGAGAGCTCCACAAAGACCTGGGCTTAGCGTGAGCTGGAAAGGAAAGGTGTAAAGATGCATAAAGAAGACAACAACAAACAAAAAAAAATCTTATAGTGGGGCTGTAGACAACGATTTCATTCATAATCTGGAATATGAATGAAGAAAGAAGGTTGTTCTTCCTTCATCTTTGTAATTGAAGATATAATAAAGAACTAGCTCTAGATTCAGAATTATTTGCTAATTATTAGGGGGAGAATATTACTGGCTTCCTCTATAAAATCCAGATCTTAACAGGTATCTGGTAACTCTATATTTAAATCATATACTAGTCCTTGTAAAGGGAAATGCTACAGTAAGGACATTTTACTGATACTAGTCTTAGGTCAAAATTTAACGGGTTTAAAAAGTTAGAGTGGAAAAACATGGTTTGTGCCACTTTGTTCTTTATTTCTCAAATGACTTGAAATACCTCTTTCTAAATCTTTTGTTTAGAACTGAGACATATTTATATGCCCTTATATTTTAGAGGATTTGGATGCACAACACATGAGTGTTGTGCCTGAAGAGGTGGTTGGTGAACGTTTGAGCTGTTCCCCAGTATTGCTAAAGAATTTTATTTGGGTGTTCATATGGACCTGATATTAAAGATATAATCTTTCCTGGTTTCAGTTGCTTGCCTTCTGTGATATGCGATACTAAACCACTTTTTCTTCTTTATACATATCCAGGGTAGACAGTATTCCATTGTCTAATATGTGAATTATTTGTGGACAGTATGAAGTGAAAAATAAAGCAAACAGAATATCCTTTTGTCTTTGGGAATCTTTCCATAAGTCTGTATCTATGTGGTTCAACAGGGCTGCAAAATTTTCAGTGTGAATGGAATTGGATAGAGATTGAAGTATTTTTTTTTAATGATCATTTTAATTATTAATTAAAATGAGTGAACTGAAGCATCTTTATACAATTCTGTCTTGCCAGTTGAAGTTATTTCAGTGTCTCAACATAATTTGTTTGAAATATGAATTGTGTGACATGAGGAAAAGCCTCCTTTGGCTATTCAACTCAGTTCTAATTCAGTGTTTTGAATTAGTAACTGACTCTATATATCGTGCATATTAAACTTTTTTTTTTAAACCTATCTGCACCCCAATTTCTACTTCTTTAGTAGAGCTATACCCATTGTTTATGGCTCACTCAGATGTAATCTAAAAATTAAATTTATTTTTCTGTTTTACTTGGGAGCTGTCTTAGAAATACTAGCCTAGCAGATGGAAACAGACTGTTTGCTTGAGGGGCACGACTGGTATGCTTGATGGATAACCACATGTACAAGTGCAGCCTGTACGCCAGACTAGGGCTTCATTAACTGTCTCCTTATGTAAAGAAATAGTGTAGCTGTGAAAGCACAGGATTCTGCACAGAGCCATTCACCCTGCTGAGACGAGCCTTTTTTCCATTAGGTAAATCAGCCTGTACGAACCTCTCTGATATTGCAGCTAAGCTGCTTCCAGTTTCCAAGCAAACTTCAGTACTTCTGTATTGCACTGTGCGGTGTAGGCATAGCCTGTGAGGAAATGGAAGCTGCACTCATCTGATGACCGAGGAGCCCAAATTTCAAGCCCTGAGACATTACACAGATACCTCACTTCAGTATGAATGGCTTTAGCCTCAAAGAAACCACGTGTAAAAGGTTGGCTAAATTGTCTGCCTATCCTTCTCTGATGAAGGAAGGCAAACCTCACTTCACCCTGGACAAAGAGGGAAGCATAACTTATTTCTTATAATTATTCTTATGGTGAACTCTGTATAAAGTGGTTGTTTTGATGACACCTCTCTAGCACATATTATGAACTTCTCTAGAAAATAATTTGTTGACTTTTACATCATTGTCCTCCCTGCCTTTTTATATTCCATTAAGTATTTCTCAGTAGTATGTATAGTCAGTGGCATTGTTTCCTTGGCAGATACCACCTTCCTCTGCCTTTCTCACCAGAGGGACAAGAAAGTTGGTATGTTAGGTTCTTCAGAAATGTTTTATTCCTAACAATAGAGTGCATGGCTTACTGTCACTGGAGCTGTATTGTGTTTGGACTCGGTCTGGCTGTGCCATGAACATGTGCTGTCATTTTCTGAGCAGAATCTAACTTTTCCAGCCAGGGCTGTGTGTAAGTGGTGTGTAAATTTTCATTCAGAACAAAATGTTTATGCCCTGAATAAAACAGTCTTGGTGATGCTTTATGTTGGGTAGGACAGGAATCTGTGCATAGCTTACAGGCAGTTTTAAGTATTAATTTTATTAAGCTTGTAGACTTAGTGGAACTGCTCAGTGCTTGAATTTGAATTTAGAAATAAGTGAAATAGAAGACCTGTTCTCCAAAACACCAACATTTCAGTGCTCAAACTGATTTTCTGTGTTCTGGGTTTTTTTTTTTTCTTTTTTTTCTTTCTCTGAAATGTAAGTTCACAGATGTGTAAGGCTGGAAGTGACTTGTCTTCTGTTTCCTCCATGGTCTGGTTGCCTAAGTACAGATAACAGTGTTTGTCTAACATCTCTAAAATCCTCAATGAAGAGGGATTTCACAGCCTGTCTAGGTAGTCTGTCCTGTTACGGTGCTTAATTATCGTGTTTTTCATAATGCAACAGTGGTAGTTTTTTCCCCCTTCTATTCTAATGCAAGATTGTTTAAGATATGCCTTAATTAGTATGTGGCAATCCATCTGAACATATAGCGTGGAGTACACACACAGACAATTGCCAGGGAACATCAGTCTTGATTAAATTCATATGTTGAAGCCTGGTGTCTCAAACTTCGCTACGGTAATTTGTGATG